CAGAAACGCGAAATATATTTCTACACACTATTACATGGTTGCGTTAGACAAGCGCTGTCGAATAATTTGAATTCTCACTTGTTGATCTTGTTGTCTTTGTTTTTGTCGTTTTTGTTGTTGCCCAACGACTGGTTGTTGAAGAAAAATTTACAGATGTTGGACCAGATGCAACTATTGAAAATGCTCCCCTCACATTCGGCGTGTATGTTGTTATAACCAAAACATACGTTTCCCAAGCCTGAAGATGAGCTTTGAGCTTAAACTGCTTCTTCTCACCGCTATCATTATTTTCTGTAATCAAATTTAGGCCAGGATTGGACGAATTGAAACTGTTGTTGTAAATATAACCATATGTATCAATATGGCTTTTGCTAGTAAAGTGATATTTGCCAGATTTAACTACACTCACTGTTAGAGAAAAATAGTAGAATCTTCCTTCTGTACAAGTTATACGACAATACGTTGGACTTTTCACAGTAAGCGATGATGAATATTTTGATTTAGTTTTTGAAGATGGATTTCCTATTTGTCAAAAAATAAAAGTGATCAGATTCTTGATCGATTAGATAGGTTAAAATAGTATTTGAATACGCTAACAAGCATACGTCATACAGACCCATACTGAAATCACAAAATGAAATACAAAGAGATCGGTGAATATGAAAAAGAAACTACTCTTTTGAATTAGATCAGAAATGATGAGGGGAGAGTGTTGGCGAAAATAATTTGGCAAAGAAAAAAATCCCTCTAAGCTGGTATTTAAAAGTTATTTCGATTCACTGCCAGTTTTATATGCCTGAATTCTAGGTCAGCCATCTCTTCTATGAACGTCGTTAAGGGATTCGTTAGTGATGCAACTATTTGTTCATTATATTGTTTTCAAACTTCTGCATTATCTAGGATGAATTTATTAGCTATTCAGATGAATGAATTTCGATTTATGGACGTTACTTATTGTGTGACAACATCATAAATTTCTTCTGCAATAAAAAGAATTGAGAGCAATGTTATTCTGCATTGTTCTGAAATTGATGAAAACGTTAAATTAATGCACTGATAGCCGAATTTATGATGCACACACATGTAGATAAACAGGTTTTTAGCATAATAACAATAAAAACCAAGTTGATAATTGTCCAACCGTTATGTACGACAAAGTGTAAGCGAGGCACGACGCGATAACTTATAGAACATCGTTTACTCACGAAATTATCGACATTGTTCCACTCTTGAAGTGACTGCTAGGTTTTTCAACCTGACATATATTTGTCGAAAGGTTCAAACAAAGTTCTTAAAATCTTGTTTGAAAATTATATTTTCCCTAATTCTGCTGTCAAGTAATCTCGAAATTCGAATTTTTGTAGAATAATTATCTACTAAGTAATAATAAATGATGGTACTCAAAGACGTAAAGGATGCTCACGATCCTTCAATAATGGCAACTATTCTTAAAGCTTTAACATTCATGATAATACCGTGATATGTAGAGATACTTTATGAGATACACATGGACTGGTGTGCGCTTTTATGATCATCATATTCATTTTTTCATGCAGTGGCTGTAAATCCTACAGACGACAAATAGAATACAACATAATTGAAAATTGATGAAGCTGAGGTCTGCTAGTAAACTAATAGGAAGAGAAATCTTCGAATCGCTTCTGAATAGGTATAGATCTTGAGAGTGTAAGAATGTTGCCCATAAAATACTTACCGTTTTCTTTATGTCATTACAATAATTTTATCAATGGTGCATGAAATATTTATTATCAAAAATAAAGATGCTCTATTCTAACTAGTAGATTTTAGTCTAAGCTGTGAATGAAATCTATTAATATAAAATCATTAAGAAAGACTCTACTGTAAAACGAGTACTGGGATAAAAATCATTAGCATGTGAGAAAAGAACTGCATGCGTGGAATACACACGGAGATAAATAGTGTATTCGTTGAGAATCTAGTAGAAGACTTACTCATGAGATGACCGACAATGGGGCCACATATCAATAAAGCAATCAATAAAAAACCCATGATTAGAATAGAGAATCGGCGTCGGAAGCATCGATCTTCATTCAATTCATGGTCATTTCCGGTTTTTATTATAGAAACTTCGCTATTGACAGGCGCCACCGGTGAACTTCGATAAATTGTTGATTCATCAAATATACTATAAGATGACCTTAAACTTGATCGTTGACCAACCATACCTCTCATATGATAATTCGATCGTAAGTCTTCGATATTCAATGGCTGTCGTGTGAATGGACTTGTGCCATTTTCCGTGATCCATCGTACAATTGCTTCACGTTCATACGTACGGCCATCAGCAGCTATCACTGGATCTTGGAAGACCCGTAACGTAATGGGACAGACTAAGTCATAATCCTCAGCACGATTGGGCGTAACCTTTTGCATCTTAGACTGTATTTAGATGTGTTACTGCTCCTTTACCTATCGTATTTGCATAAGAAAAATGATCTTCCAAGAAAAAAAAAGAAACGAAGGATGAAGAGAAGTAACTTAAAGCTTATTTGACTATAATACAACTTTTTGACAGAGAATGTTATCAGTCCTGCGTCAAATAGTATAAAACTTTATTGGAAGAAAAAAACATAAGGAGAAAAAGGTTGGCAGTTAATCAAAGTACAACGGAAATAAAGCGTTTACTATTGATAGTTGCAATACTATTTAAAAATCTGTTCATTTTATGTGTTGTGTCTTTCTGGCTTCCGTGATTAAGTGCCGACTCTGATACGACGTTCTCTCTAATGATTATCAGAAATAGAGCTTGGTAAAGATGAATATAGAATAAATAATGAGTGAACAGAAGGACTCTAAAATATAAACGATTTTTGCCACGCATAGAAAATTAGGACCTATTTGAATTCTTCACAGAATTGACGTGGGCTCTACAGACTATTTGTACATTCTTTACAGAATCATATAGAAAATTCTAAGGATGAGGGACGTTTTGGAGCCATTTCAGTTCAATTAGAAAGCAAAGGTAGATTGGCGTGAAACATTCAACAAATGTACATCAGAGTATTTGTAGTCATTCTGATAAATTTCTACTTGATCGGTCAAACTTTTTCCTTATCTCAGTGTTTTGCAAGATAAGCACTCAAGAGCCCTTTAACAACAAGAGTGAGAAGCGCATATCACGCGTTTTCGAAAGGAGATTTTTATGGTTTGAGAGCAAGTTTATGGATTATTCTATGAAAAATTTAATTCTAAATAGAGTGAAAATCAAGAAGTAATTAAATAGAGAAGAGTTATCTTGATGAGAAAACCGATGCGTCGATAAATATGTCAATTCTATTAAAAATTTGCCGAAAATCAACATTTGAAGTTTTAGAACTGGTGTCTGTCACATCAATATTTGGGTGCAATCACATGATTATGAAGTTTGGAATTGAACGAACTTGTGATGAATTTGTAAAATTACTTTTATTTACGGATATTGCAGTCGCACTCTTTGAGCACATCGTCAGTTTCTCAAACTAATTTATCAGCAACAACATTAGCTACATGAGATAATGCATCAGGATGCTGGTTGAATCTTCTTTATTTTTTTTTGTTAGGATTGGTCATTGAATGAAATGTACTGGTAGCATGATCACAATCGTCTTGTGTATTTAGAATAGAAATGATATTGAATATCATTAGGCATGTTGTTCTTCGGCAAGATAACATACTTGCTCGCTCGATTATTTTGAGCTCAAGTAATCCTCATCTTTTCTTTCTATTGCATGTGTGTTCAATGGTTGTTCACAGTTTACCACAATGGTAAGAACAAAAAGAGCAGTATAGAAGTTCATTAACGGCGCTAAAGTAACTGGTCGTTTACATGAATATGTTATTTCTTAAGAAAGAGTATTGAAGGAATCAATAAATGGGAGTCGATGCAGAGTGAAAAAAGAAGGTCACCCACAGCTATACGAACACTCATATATCGCACTTCTAATGATGATGAATCATGAAGTTGTTAAGATCCGTCAAAATTGATTAAGAATCAGAATATTAGTTTTTGAAGAATGCTGAAATCTTTAGATTTCATTGATATACTTAAGGATGTATCAGAATCAATAGGAAAAAATCATTCGGAACCACTTCAAGAAGCTCCGAGTAGCTTGAAATTGATTTGAGTGATTGTGAATAATATCTAACTCCTTTTTAATAATTCTGTGAATACCGAAGAATGGCGAACATTTCCTGTAGAACTCTTATGAGATCGAATTTCAAGATTATTATCGTGTGAGAACGACAGCATCAGATTCACGAATGGATGTATGCATTAGCTGGAGCGATTCATGTGGAAAAATGATGGTTTAGCAATGCCGAATAGACGGCACCGAAAAATTTTAAATGAGAACACTGTAGTTGGAAGTAAAAATGTGAAAACTTTAATCAAACCTTTGAATTGTGTACTGCTGAGCCTTGTTCTCTGTGAAATGAGATGTATACATTTGCAGGCATTTAATCGATTTCCTTGTCTTTTTATCTGAGCTTGCCAGTCTCAAAGAACACTTTTGTCTTCAAAATAAAGCCTGATAGAAATCAAGACCAAGATTAGACGTAGTCTTACACGTATTAATTGAATACTTGCTTCATTATTTTAAAGCGTGTGTGGACGTAGATGCGACCAGAATGATAATGAAGAAAAGGCGCACGTCCAATCACACACTCTTGTCTCATAATGCTGCTTCTAAAATCAGTGAAAAGTAATAAATGAATGTAGAAAAGTCTACAAACCGTCAGAAACTATAGAAATAATGTCACATTTAGCAAAAAATAGAAAACATCAGTTGAAAACCACCTGAAATCGATTGGAAATCAGCTAATATTTACTTAAAACTGACACAAAGTGTTGAAAACCACTGACAGTCATTATAAATCCGAAAATTCAAGGAATCAGTCCACTCCAGTTTTTTAGGGATTTCTAATTAAAAACGAGCAGTTTTTTGCCTTGTTGATGATTTTATTTAATATAAAATATGAAATTAATTACTGACAATCAACTGATTGAGAATGTCTCGTGTAACAAATGTCAATTTTTTTATGTCTGCTTCATTCACTACTTCATACAAATATACATCGCTCTTTGTCGTTATTTCATCATGATGCCGACGTAACAAATAAGTTGGTCCTTCAACTATATTGGACCGAAGAAATTGAAGAATTCGATGAAGTTGCTGAAAACTTTCGATCTTTGATTGATCATTGCTCAATTGCGAGGTTTGATATTCTACAATATGTGAGATTTGTGATGTGTCATTGTTTGGATGACGACCATGAATAATAGTGTTTGTTCCACCTACATCATAGTATTCAAGAATATTTTAGACTTTTTTTTATTATAGATGCAAATGTTTTTTCGAGTATTTATCAAGAAGAAAAAGCTTACTTTTGTAATTCAGAAGTACAACAGTAAGCTTTTTCTTTCTTGCATGTAAGTCTGCAAAGTCTCCCAATGAATTTTCCATTGAAAGAAGAACCCTCGCAAAAAAGTCTCAGTTTTCGTTCAAGATGATCTCGTTTCTTGAAGAATTTCCTGAAAGAAATAGCGTCATGCCTTCGCTATTTTTAAGTAAGACAATATTCATTGTTGCTCCCGTTATGTTCATGACCGACAGCTGAATCTATACGGCTATACATTATTTCCAAAGAGTTTCTTATACATTGCTTCCAGTTCTCTATAATGAAAGATGCAAAAGAAACGGATCAACCTGGACTCAAGAGCAGCAGACGTCGTAAGAATTATTTGTATACCGACGCAATTGTTTTATTAATTTTTAGGGTTTTATCTTGTAGAAGTTTTATTTAATGGCTAAATATAAATATGTCTTCAGTCGTTGTTCAGACTGCTACTTTCTTAAAACACAGTTCTTACAGGAGCTGGAAGAAAACATAACAGAAATGAAGTTTTTGAGACTTTCCTGTAAAGATAAGTGTTCCCTGAAATAGAAGGCCATTCGTGTGTGAGGCTCTGTGATTATAAATCAATATTTTCTAAAAATATCGATAATTTTCGGAAATATTTATTAAAAGGTCAGAAAATGGAAATTGATATGTTTCAATGGTGTCTTTTTATTAAAGTTACTCTTATGTTCTCATTTATAATGTATTCTTTGGAAAAGAGTATTAGTTTCATAAAAAAATATTAATTGTTTTTAGAAATTTTAAGATAGTTTTCTTGACACTTGGCGAAAAGTTCAACTCTTACAATACAAACTGATGAAAAAACTAATTATCTGTCTAGACGTTGTAGGAGACAATGGCCTTTTATTCCAGACAATCGTATAGTTACTCCGCAAGGTTTATGTTCTAATGATCGTAGCTGATATTGAAATCTTTGAAATACAGACATCCTCATATCGATATTTATAAGAGTGTTGAAAACAATTTTTCAAGAGATGTGCACTACAACGACTCGAGGTAAAACACTATTTATGTTTAGCACACATTTCTCATATGAAGGAGTTCGAATGTTCATTTCTTGCAAAAAATATTGTTCAAAACGTTTCAACATCATCTGTGATGTTTGTAGCATAGAATTTGTGCAGTACACGTATAGAAAAGAAAGGTTCAAATACTTGAAAAAAAAACGCTCTAATAAGAGTTCTTTACACTCAAATTCACTTTTGTTCAGTTTTTGAAGATGTCGAATTCAATACATGTTTTCTTAAGACGGGAGTGACAATGTCATTAGTAATCGAGTTCAGAAAAGCTCGATAAACAGACGCTGTAACTTATTATCAATTTCTTATAAACAAAAACAACACTTTTATATTGGTAAAGAAATTCATTACTTGACAGATATCAATCTTTCAGTCCAACTTACTGAGAAATGCTTGTGACCACCAATCATGTTCCATCGATTTCCCCAGTTTGATTTTACGGCACTTAAGTTCAATTGATTCTCCGTTCTCTCGTTTGATTGCGTCCGTTTCTGCCAAGATGAGTGTCTTCAGTTCACCGATTCGCCCCTCGATCAATTGATGGTAGTCACCTTTGGGATAGTTCCTAGTAACAGTACACATTTCTTCGAACCGATATCCCTTATTGTTCCTGTTGATGGAATGATAGGCGGCATAACGTCTCAGAAATATTGTAGAATCGAATCGCATGACACTGATTATGTAATCTTTATCATTCATGATGAATTTACGAAGGGAATTTCTTTCACTCACAATATCATATTGGCGAACATCAACATGAGCATGATGGGCCGTTAAGAGAAGGGGTAGAATAGAAGCATGAATTGGTTTTATAATTCGAGCGTTGGCTCGAGAATTGGATGGTAGAGGAGAGGGAAGTAAAGGTGAGATAAAATACGGAGCTTGACCGGGTGTAATAACACATCGCTGATAGTTAGAAATGCTTAGCGGATCCTTCGGAAGGTGCCAGACGAGTGTACATGAGCCGAGAACACGAGGAGCGTACGAGTTTACAAATGATGATGAAACATCATCCAATTGAGAAGGATAATCTTCAAGAGCTATGACAAGTTGAAGACGAGTAAACAGTCCATTTGGAAGACCATTTCGTTGTTTTTTAGCTTTTCTTTTAGATTGTAATGACGAAGCCATATTCAATTTTCAATACAAGTGCTATAAAAAACTGGAATGGATTATTTATACTTAATTAGCAAAACAATGTTCGATCTAAAAGTATCCCTCATAGTTTAATAAGAAATTACACTCTAGTAAAAATCTTCATCGAGTTTTATTCCCGAAGATGACCTTTTTGTTTTCAAGATCTTTCATACAATATTATCAGTCATGTGCATGTGACACGTTTCATTTTTATTGTTCTTTATCGATAACAAATTTCATCACATGTAAGAACAAGCAGTATCAAGTGTCTCATTTTGCGACAAACACATTACAGAGAGAAAGACAAATATTACATATACATGTTTGATATAGAAAAAAAAGCGAGCAAGCCACAAATATAGTTCTATTATATTTCATTACTTGGCTTTGTACCTTGACAGAAGATCGAAAGAGAGTATACAAAGAAAAAAAATGCTTTATTTTGCATAATATCTGTTGAATGATGATCCCATTTGAAGTATGTCATCGAGGCAAGGATTCGCTAAACTGTAGAACAAGCAAATTAAAAAGTATTGAACTCATGATATTTTTTGAGTTTTCTTCTCTAAGCCTAAAAATTGTAGTCATTAACAAGTGGATTTTGGAATTCGCTATAATTATCCTTTTGTTCATAGAATATTACGTCTCTGTTGTCATCGTCCTTATTCTGACAAGTACTCTATTCAGCAAAACACTTTAACAACGACGATTGAGAATATCATTCACTGGATAGCATGTAAAGTTCGTTGATTCTTGTGTTAAGATTTTCTCTTTCTACTTTTAATACATTAGCCGAAAAGTGATCCACCAGGGGGGTCATATTGAAGTATACAATAGATCAGAAAAACGATCAGACAAAAATATTTCTCATCATTCCTGAAAATTTAACTAATATACGTAACTGTTGAAATTATCTCTTCCAAACTATTGATCTATTACACGTAAAAGATACCCTATTAGAAAAATTGATTCGTTTTTCATTTCTTTTTGACAGAATTTTGTTTTTTGATGAAATAATTCGAAGTATGTACACGCAAAAGTCAAGTCTCTTAATTGAGTTTCCGTCAATGAATTGTGACTATTAGTGAGTGCTACTTTGTGATATTTCTTGAATGTTCATTCAAAACTGGTAAATAACAAAGCAAGATAATACATAGATCTAAAATGATTGAGTATATTTTTCTTAACGTATTCAATTAGTTAAACATACGAATGCAACTTGGTATCAATCTGCCAACAAACAAATCAATATGTATTATCGACGTAAAATATGAAATTCTTTCAGTGAAATCATTTGCCAATTTATTATAATCAAAAGAAAATTTCAAATATTATTCAAAAGAATGAAACTTGGTAGATTAAAGAAAACTTAACAGGCAATTCAAAAACTATCATTCTATTAACGTTAAAGTCTTTTGAAAGTCCATAGGAAGCGCAAAAGTTCCAGTGTCTTACTGTAAAATGTAATCAACTTAAAAGATTGAATAACTGTTTAATTAAATATATCTATTGCTGGCATACATGATCAAACATAAGAATCTAAAATTTTTTTTTTGGAGCTAGTATCACATCTTTACTCAATACATTAACCCACCACGCATTTAGGAACGACATCGTTCATTTGATTCAACACTATGTCAAAAGTATTGGCTAAACAAGATGTGAACATTGACTTATTTGATTTTAATTGCAAACTTTTTAAAAATTCTCACCTAAAACAGGTAAGTTTTGCTAGAGATTTAAATATTTGCTTATTTTTCTATAAATTGTTATTGCTTCAATCCATATCTTACTTAGTTGAATGAGACGATATAGTGATTTACAGAATCTATTAACTTTGTACCACATATATATGTATCCATAAAAGTTTAATCCTTGTGTATATTTATAAACACAATATAACCTATCACAAGGATGAAAATCTTGAAAATGGCCTTTATCGATGAAAAAGTGCTGTCTTTGTATTCTAAAAGAGCCATCAAATTCATTAATTTTATTTAGCGCCTTTTGGAATGATCAGAATTACGATCATCAACAAGCGTAATGATGGTTTTAATAGACATGTTTTGTTCTTTTCGATCGTACTCAATAAATATGATTAAAATCAGACTGTTTACGATTGAAATTTGTTCGGTAAGTTACTACAGATTTCAAAGATCATGGAACTTTTTGATTTCTTGGTAGATCTCATAACTTCTTTGTCGACATGATAATAATATAGTTCTATTAAACTCAAGAAATCCATTATTCAGATAAAAAGACATTTTTTGCTCTCATTTACATTCTCTCTATGTAAGTTTTAAATAGAATATAGAAATTTTAGGATAATTTAACATAATCTTAAGAAGATAGGTTCCAGAAGAAGAGTCTGTCAAATTTGACCCAAACTCACTCAGTTCCAATCATGTCGAAATCCAAAAATTTTGGACTCGATGGACTCTGATAGTTTCAATCAAAAGGATATATAAGTGGTCGGATTCAACTATGAAAATTTTATTATAGGTATGACAATTTTGAGTTCAAATCCAAATTCTTTTAGAGCTTGGATCTGCGTTTGAGCTCGAAAAAATTCAATAGGCTCAGCTTGAACGTTTTAACCTAACAGCTTTTCGCATAAGTAAAACTTTACTGATGTCTTTTCTATTATATATTGATTAGATTTCTTGTTTTAACTATATAAAAAAGAGAAGAATAAGATCAAGCAATTAATGCTGGCACCATTAGAGAATTACAAAAAAGAATGAAACAATCAATATAAACAAGTCAAACATATCATTCACGGCAAACATTTTTATAATTTAGATTAATAGCTATGAAGTTTATTTGTCGTTTGAAAATCTTTGATAACTAAAGGAACAGCTACGAACTTTCAATAATTGTCATGAAATCATTCACACTTTGATACAGTTTCATTCTAACATCTTCAACATTATTAATCAAACGATACTATCAGTGTTACACGAAGCGATCACTAAATTCTTCACTATCCTAATTAGAGACAGATGATCAAACAAGTAATTAGAAATCTTCCAATTTTCGTCAGTTGAATCTCGGCAAATTCCATCAGACAAGCTGTCAAATTCGATAAAATTCTAATAAATCAGATAATTTACTTTTTATTAGATTTCAACTGTCATAAATTATCGATATTCTACCAAAACAAATTCTGAGAACAACTGAAAGAAATCCGTGAGAATTCTTAGAATTTAACGGAACGAGTTCGACCTTTGTAGGTATTTATTTCTACTTTTGATAGATATACTCAATAAGTTGTGATTCTATATGAAAAAACAGTGTACTTGAACAAACATGCCCTCTCTATTTAAGTTTTTCAAATTGTATGTCAAAGAACATTGTCAACGAATTCGATTAAAAATAATATAAAATTAAATATAGAATATCATATCTAAGAGGCTGATCAAGGTTCAGGAAAAGCAATATTTACCATAGGCTGGTATAAAAAGGAATCGAGGATAGCATTCGAGGACCGCTCTCATTGTACATTCATTGCTGAGTATCAGAAACAGGCTTTTCATTTCTTTATACTTCATACAATGAAATCTTCTTTTATTGGCATATCCTATTGATGCATCAGAACAAAAAATCTTTCTTTATCCTTTATTTTAAAAAAATAAGCAAGATCCTTAAAAACTTCAAAAGGTAAAATTTGTTTAATTGATATAGTTTGAGATGTTAGACTCAATTCGTCTAAATAAATATAATTTCATTAATTGATATTATTTTCTGTTTATCTATTTTCATCTGAAGGGTAAGATATTTGTAAGGAAGTTCATTAAAAGTACAATGTATGCTGAGAATGTTGGAAAACTATACAATATGAAATTTATGTATGCTATTTGTAATGAATATGATTTTGACATCGTTTGTATTTTTTGCAAAAACAAAGAGATTTGAAGTTAATGAAGAGAATACTGAGAATTTTCTGTGATTTGTTGTAATGTCGAATGAACTAAATTGAATAGTCTGTCAAAAACATCGAATTTGATAAACAATCTTTTTTAAGACTTTCTACAATACAGTCATAGTTAATCTACTCAAATTTCTTCGTTGTATCAAATTAATATATGTAATCTTAGTTGAATACTTTGTGTTATTATTGTATAATAGTATATTATCTGATGTTTTTTTATTTATTATAGGCTATATCATAAATGGATTCGACATCCAAATGAATGTTTTAAGTATTAACAAGGTTCTTGTCACATTGCAATTGATATTATTTCTTATCAAGTCTTAGTTATTTATCAATGATGATAGAAATATGTGTTTAAAATGATTAATCTTGAGATAAAATTTTGGCTCAGCTCATTTTGATACTCAATAAACTTTTCTATAGTTCGAACCGAAATTATTAGATCGTGTTAGAAAAAAAAATTGTTTAGATTTCTTTGTCTTTATATTTATAATTTTTTCCACTCAATGCCATCATTTATATTATTTCGCTGGATTTGATAAGAAAAGAAGGTCTTGTTTTGATTCATTCTTTTTTGTTTCATTTATCGAATATTTTATGACAATCAACCTATCTGATTGCTACATATATAATGTCGACTTATTATTTGTCATAAATATCGTTTTAATGATCATATTTCTCATTAAGAGAAAAAAATCTCTTAGAGTAAAAAAACAAAATAGGTTAAAAAATCGAAACACCTTTCATTAGAACAAGAACTTCATCGATCTAAGATAATGTTTTGTTTTGCTATTTTACCAAATAGCACGATGATACTAATTAGATTCGACGTTTTATCCTAGTCTATAACTGAAAATAATAACAACTATGTTTAAGACGAAGTCCAATGATAAAGTTAATAATTTTTTCAATTCTTCATTGAGAAAACAAAATAAAATAACGACAATTCAATAATGAAACAAACCATAAAATAACACATGTCTATTGATAATCGATCGTTATATGCATGATGAATTTTTTTCCTATTAAGATTTGCGATAAAACAATCGTATCGATATATTATGTCGTTTGACTTGTATTTTTTTTCTCTTGATGTTTATTTATGATTCTAAATGATGAAACAGCAGGAATTCATGCATTACTTGTCACTTGTCTTTTTATAATCAATTTTAGATCACTTATCACATATAGATACACCCACGTAAAACAACATGAAGTCATGATTGTCGACTGTCTTTTTTTCTTTTTTGTTGAGTGTCTAATTCATACTTATCAATATACGTCTTCTGACAGAAGTATTCTTATATGTGTAATTCACATCCGAACTAGATTGATCTTATGGATTGTCTATATTTCTTCTTTTTTTTTTTTCGGCATCTTTTGATCAATATTATATGAAGAAACAAGATGAAGAACAAGAAGAAAAACGAGAAGAAAAAGAAAATTCAATCAAGAAAAGTGTTAAGACTAAAGAAGTTTTTCTCTGATGATATTTTCGCTTTATTTATTGTTTGATATTATTTATCATTTTCATTAAATACATATTTCATATTAGATATACTTCTTGTAGACAATAATAACAATTTAGCATGAATTCTATACATTTTTTTTTGCTTTTTATAGACATATTCTATCCATTCATAGAGTAGAACACACTTGATTTGACAGCAAATTTCTTTGTCATAAATGAATACGATTGAGTACTCACAAGAAGGTAATCAACAGTCAAAATCTAGACTAATAGCAATAATCAAAGAATTTTACATATAAGTTCATTTCTTATTATGTAAAAAAAAAGAAAGAAAGAATACTCCCATTAGTGTTATATTATTTTATAGAATAAAAACACTTTGATTTCAATTAATAGATATTTAAATGCGTTATTTCTCTTTATGTAAAAATGTGTCCGAAAGAGTTTCTAACGATTTGTTAATACATTTTGGTTGTAAACTATATATAGCGATGACAATCATTATTTTTGAATTAATCGATCAAGCTTTTATTGAGTAAATGACATTTTCTCATCTTCGTTTGTCATCAAAGAATATATCAATTTGCATTATTTAACGCTTTTCTTATTGATTTCTAGACAAAAAGAAAAATCTTATCTTCAATAAAACTACAATGACAACATCATGTGCATTAACAGAACATGAATTGCTTTATGATACACTAGGACATAAACTTTATCTTGCATTAACACCATTTATTATTTGTATTGGATTAATTGGAAATATTCTTACTGTTTGTGTATTTATATTAACAGATCTTAAAAGACAATCAGTATCTATAATAACAATTGCATTAGCTATAGCTGATTCATTTGTTCTTCTTATACCTGTTTCAATATTATGGCTTGAAAAAATATTAAAACGAGAATTAACTGATCTTTCACCATTTTGGTGTCGTACTCATGGTTTGTTTATATTGTTGTTTTCTTTTTTTATTAATCATTTTATATTTTATTTTTAATTTAGGATTTTTTGATTTAACTTTTACAAGTTGTTCAAGTTGGTTAATGGTTTGTATAGCATTTGAACGTTTTTGTGCTGTTTGGTTACCACATAATAATAAAAAAATATTTACACATCGAAAAACATTTATTCTTGTTCTTATTATTGTATTTTTATCAACAATTTTATCAACATGGTTTATATTTGTTGTTAAAACAACACGAACATCAATAATATCATTAAAAAATCATACGGAAAATATTTTATTGACTTCTGATAATCGTACAACAAATCAACATTGGAAATGTAATCTTGTTGATGATAGTCTATATGATTCTATGGGTATGTTTTCTGTTATAATTAATTATATATTACCATTTATGTTTGTATTATTATTAAATTCGACTGTTATTTATCGTTTATGTCAACGTGGTATTGTTGAATTAACATCATCAATAACAGTTATGTTAACACTTGTTTGTTTAGTACATTTATTTTGTACATTACCATTTCAATGTTGGTGGATATATTATGAAATTCCTGATCAAACAGGTGATTGTATATGGTTAAAAAAGAAATTAACATGGCGTACAATAACATTTACAATACGTAATATAAATTATATGGCAAATTTTTTTCTTTATTCATGTTCATCAAAATTATTTCGTAATGAATTAAAAAGTTTAATTTTTTTAAGTTTATTACCACATGAAAAATATCAAAATTATCATTATCGTCGACAGTCATTATATGATAATATGCAACAACAACGTATTTCATTAACTCATCTTGTTATGAGACGTTTAAGTAGAACAACTGACTTTACAAATGTTGGTATTTTTCATAGTGGTACAAATGTTACTCCAGCTAATAATCCAAATGGAAATATTTAGAAGAAAGAAGAAAAACAAAAAGTAACTTTTAAAAATAATTTTTGAATATTCCAATATTTAAATGTATATATGAATAAATATGAAAACTAAAAGTAACAAATATTTTGAAGCTGATTACCAAGAACGATTATAATAATGTTTTACTCAAGGGAAATTGTAATGTTTGAATGATTAATTTAGCTTAAAAAGCAAGCTCGAGTTTTTGACTGTTATATACGATTCTTTTTCTAATTAAGGAATCTATTTTAAAAGTACTATTTCGTACATATGGTTTTAATAAGAATTATGGCAGCGTTCTTTTTTTTTGGTGTCTATATTTATTTATGAATATAGGCAACTGTTGGTATCAAGTATTGTATATAAGATTCTTTTGTACTACGAAATATGATAATATTATTGATGATTCTTCATTTATTGATTATTTTCTTTCTCTTAAGAGAATAGTATTTGTACTCCTCGAACTTTTTCTTTTGTATAGAACAGTTCTATATCAGTATATTGTAGTAGTAGACTTATTCAATTAGATCAAGTGATGATTAATTGTCTGGTTTTTTTTTTTTTTATTATCAATGCGTGTTATAATCTCAAAATTATTATTGATTTATAGTAAATTTAATTAATAAAATAATATTGATCGATTATTTGATAATTTATTAATTCAAGAAATTTTTGATTGACAAGCATAGAATATAAGATATCACTTTCACTGTTGGAAATTTTTTAAGCCTATGACATTTCATTGATAGAGTTTCTTCAAGAGCGTAAACAATTAAGTAGCTTTAAAACATATTCGTACTAGTGGATTTCTATGCAGTAATTAACAACATCATATCTAAAAGATTGTAGTTTACAATACTCACACAAACAATGTTCAAATATAAAAATATCATCTCACTATCAAAGATCAAAATGATTATGGATAGAAGAATTAATTATTTTAAAGGAATTCGGTTTTATAATAACAAATCCGCTAGAATACATGCTCCTCTAAGTATTGGATGGTTATGTGAGTCAAGAGAACTTCAACAACTACACTCACATCCACTTCAAACCTTGGTTCAGAAAGAGCACAAATTTTGATGTTAAACCAATATTTTATAGGGTCTAATAGCCATTGCTAATCGATTGACAAGTGAAGGCAAATATTGTCTCAAAACTTTCGACCCATCTGTTCGTACTTTGATAATTTTATTTGATAATCTCTAAGCTATTCTTACTCAGATTATTCAGTTCTGTTGATACTCATCTGACGAGCACATGTCAACCAACGATGATTATCAAGATTTGACATATGAGTATGAAATTCTAAGCAAACTGGATAATTCGTACTCTTTTTCTTTCCAATACTTAATATTGTTTATAATTGCAGATATAGAATAAGAATATCTTTTTTTTGTTTTTTCATTTTGAAAGACCTTTTATTTTATAAAAGGAATCGAAAAAAAAGGGCAATAGAAAATCATAAAAAATTAATCACTGTTTGAATTACTTGTTAATAAAAAATAGACTGATTATTAGAAAAAAATTAATTAAATAAAAAGACTAGAAAATTAAATTAAAGCCATGACTCAACAAAATCTTCAAGTACACTTGTTTCAATCTCATTCATTGTATCTGATAATAAAATTTGTTCATTTTTTGAATATAAATTGTCATTTATATGCATTTTAGCTAAACAATTAAAAAATGGAAATAATTCGATGATATTTGATATTGTTCGTAAACGAAGTAATGGATGATTTGAATTGTTGTTTATTGGTATTTGATTACGTATAGATGTTGGCATTAATTGAAGTTTTTGTTCAAATAATTTAAATAAACGTATTGAAAAAGCAATAAATATATCAATATTTGAATTTGAATTAGTTATATCATGAGCAGTAACAAATGCAGAGCGAAATCTATAAAATAAATTGAAAATTTTAAAAATTTAGATATAAAAATTTTAATTTATTTACAGTTGAAAATGATATAATTCTGAATAGGGCATTGCTAGAAGAATATCAAGTAGTTTACAAGCATATAAATACATTTTTAATGAAGAATTTGAATCAGATGATCCATTAGAAATATTTGTTGATGTTATATCATTTGTAGTCAGTCGTTGAACATTTGATCTAAAGAAGATCAAAAGCTTATATGAAATAACACAATAGTAAAACAAAAATTTCAGCTAAATGCCAATGCCGAACAATGTTAGTATAGCTCATTAATGAAATATTGTGAATTTTAAGACAAGCGGGTATTTTGACTAAATGTTTTAGTCAATTCAAAAAAGACCACAGACATGCGAAAAAAACTGATTCTTTCACAAATCATGATTCACATAATAAAAAAAAAACTCTTCAGTTTCACTACTTAGGTCAAGAAATATGTTCAGTTTTCGGCCGAAAATTCATAAATTCAGGTGCGAGAACCATTGATCCAGATATTTTGGAAAACTTTCTGGTAATTTTCTATAAAACTTACTTGATGTCACCTTCAATATCGAATAAAAGATCTTGTTCAAGTTGTAATAAAATTTGTATAAGTTCTGCCATTAGTATTGGCCAAAACGAGATCAAATTTTTATTTAATATTCTTATTAATAAAGCACGAAACAGAAGAAATATTTGTGTATATACTATAGGTACTTGTGGTAATTTAAGTAGATCAGCAATACATTCAAGTATGTCTGGTAACTGTCGATTACATTGATCTTTTTCTGATGAATAAATAACAAAAGCAAAACGTTTAATAAGCATAGCACGTTGTTCATATTCTTGTTCTTTTGAAACTAATAAACCTGTTTGAACTGTATTTATTCTATTCATAACATCACGAAATGATGTTAGTTTTTCATCTGTTATCATATTACCAATAATTATTTTCCATGAAGTTAATGTTAATAAATCAACTTGAAAAAATCCTATATCAAATAATTGTTCAAATACTTCTTTTTTCCATGTTTTCTTTGTATATGAATATTGTGATATATTCATAAGTAAAGTTGATGCTGCACGATACGATGGTGCATTGACTATAACATGTATGCGAACATATGGCATAACATTGTTGACAAGATTTTGTAAATATGGACTTATAATACGATCTTTTTCATCAGTTATATTATAAATAATATCAAGTAATTTTGCAGCATGCTCAGCAAGAATCGTTAAAGCCATAAGACTAGAATTCATTGATTGTGAATTATCTATATGAAAATAATCTTTTTTTTTTTTCTTCATTAGAAAATTTTCTTAAATAAACTAACCATCAAACTCTAAAGAAGTATTTTCATTAGTATAACTACGATCGAGTTCATTGAATGAATCCATAGTTATTGGTTGGGTACATGGATCCGTTTGTGCAATACGTACTTGTAAATTTTTCCGTAACCAATTTGTTTGTTCAAGTGATGAAGCAACGATTGTATTACAATTTTCAAGAACTTTCATTATTATATCCTGTTGAAGATAATTAAGATTTTTACTAAGTATGTTCATACTAAAACTCTACAATCTATTGAATATTGAACTCAAATGAAATCCGCATGTCTCTATTTTTTAATAAACTCAATTAGTATCACTCATGAACTCTTCAATACTGTTGTAACGAAAAAATTGAATTGCGAGGAAACGTTAATCTGAGTTGTGATCAGGAGAATACTCTTCGCTCGAAGATCTAACTCTTCATCACATAGTTTATAGTATTTGTCTCGCGAAATTTCTATTCATCTCCTTAGAGTTCCAAATATCTTTCCATTCGATAAGAGAAAACTTAAATAATATACTAGCTTTAAACTTTTACACGGCAATGTATTTGTTAATTTATAAAAATTGAGATTAACGTTTTATTTTCAAAATTAGTAAATCTTTAGTATTTTTATTATTTAAAAAACAAATCAAAACTATCTTTAGAATTTCTTTCTTATTGATGGATATAAAATTCGTTTAAAAAAAATATCATACGATAATAACATACTTGTAAGTCTTTTAAATCTCGTTTTTCAACTGTAAATAATGATTGTTCAACATAAAAACTTAATATTCTACAAAAATAGATTAAAATAATTAACATTAAACTTTAAAGGAGATTTTTCGAACCTTATTATCAAAAATATAACTGATGATGACATTGATTGTGTTAAACATTCTTTAAACATAATAGCTAATATTGACCAACATTCAATAGAAACATTTTTTTGTTGTTCTAAATAAGCCAAAAGAAATTGCAGACACCAAACAATATAATTTTGTTTTTTCTAAATAGAATATCGTAGGGAAAACGAAATCTTCGTTCTCAATCATTTTACTTTATTATTAGTTGTGGATAAATTTTGTATGAGTATATTCATATTGTAAATGATATCATTTGTTGTATAATTATTTATATTGATAAGAATATCAATTAAAGCTTGTATTTCGTTAACATTATCTCTTTGTATTATTGATGTTTTTTGTTGTTGTTTACGTTCACCCCAACAAAGTATAATGGCACGAAGAAATGAAAAACCATTTGATTTTGTTAATGATGATATAAAGTCAATTATTTTCTCTCGAATGAGTTTAATATTCTTAACTAGCCATATTGAATTAGTTTGATTTATTGATACAGTTTTCCATATAAATAAAAGACTTGAAAAAATTAATGGAAGTTTATTTAACATTGATTGACGAGCAGTTTTAGATAGATCATTTGTATTAATTTTTATCTAAATATGAAAGAACAAGTTTTTATTTTTAAATTAAATATAATATTAGTGTACTCTTTTTATCCAATGTTGTGGACACAATGTTTGAGTAAAATGTTGTGTATTATAAGCAGTATTATTAAGACAATAATTACATATGTATGAAAGACGTTGAATTAAATAAATGATATAATCAATTGCATCAAAAGAGGATGATTGTCTATAATAAAATGTTTATGTTATACTCTATTTTGGAAATAATTGAAATGGTTGTATTTTATAGCAAATGAATAGTTTGAGAACGTTTCGACGAGCATGGAGTAAAAATTTTTCTTGGTATTTTATAATACTAACAGTTAAAATATATCATTTTGTTAGAAGAAAATTACTTTCAATATATTTTCTGAAATATTACAAATGTCATATTGAAAGAATTTTCTTACACTGGTAATTAAAAGCTTTGATCAAATGATAAAACCTTTTTAACATGAGATTGAACTCAATAATAATAGACTTTACTGAGACTAGATGAAGCTTAAAACGATTCATGTTCATGGATCTTTCTTCTTGAATGATCGTGCTTCCCTTCAGATGCTGTTAGTACTTTTTGTCTAAATTAAAATTTTATCAGTTCTTGCTTCTTATACTAAACATATAATAACTGCGGCAAATCAATACATCACCACTCATCATCCTTGCTATCTATCATATAATTTTTTTATCTGTAAGACAAATCAGATATTTTGCCATTTAGAGCATTCACAAACACATTTCAATCATTTAAACTTCAACGATTGCAACTGTTATCTCAATTAGCAAAGAATAACATCTGAAAAATGAGTCTCTGGTTAAGTCTAAGTAAACGTTATTTATCGCGCTTTCTTTGAAATATTTGTCTTATTTGTTTTTGTTTTGAAATTTTAATTCTTACTTTAATTCAAGTTTTGTTTCTTGTTGATCATAATATTGTACAACAAAAGTTAAATTTCGACATATTTGTTCAATAACACGAGTACTTATTATTTTTAATGCTGAACCACAATGAGGTAATATTCTTATAACTGAATTAATTATATAATGATGATTTTCAATAGAATGAATTTGTTTTAAATATTGTAAAATTGTTGAAAGAAAAATTGTTTGATTTATAGTTAATTGATCAATTAAATTTACATCTATTGAATAAATAATATTTTCAAGTAAAATAATTTCTTCTAATAATCGAATTAATTGTTTTAAATATTCTTTTGTAAATTGATCATATAATAATTCATTTTTAGAATCATATATTACTTTTATTTTTAATAAATCAGATTCTTTATTTACAAATCTATTAAATAAACATAAAATTATTTTTTGAAATGAAAGTTTTTTAAATAAATTAATTATATAATTTATTAACAATGTATTATCCACACATATATATGATAAATCATGACATATACGTGTTAATAATATTAATGAACGTATATGTATTATATGATTTTTTTGAATATTAAAATATTTTGGATAATAACTATATGTATAAATTAAAAGTATATTTAATAATAAATATAAATATGATTGATATTCTTGATTATTTTCATTAGATAAATCAAAATCTTTTCCTTCGATAGAACGACGATGTTTTAAAAATAATTCATGCATTTGTTTATTATGTATACTAATTGGTAATGATGGATTATTTGATGTTATTAATAATGTTTGAATAAGTTGTTGTGGAATAAGATCAAATAAACTATCGATTATATTTAAAGATAATATTATACGATTATAATCATAAGGTTGAGTATAAAGTAATATATAAGCGTTTTGAAAATCCATAGAATCATTCATTTGTGATAAATTAGATTCACTCATGATACTACTATTTGGCATTGACTGTGAATAAGATGAATTATTAATAATAATATTATTGCTTGATTCGAATTGAGTATTATTTCGATTAAATAAAGTTGGCATTGTAGGTGTACGTTGTTTAACCGATTTTAATAAAGTTGGAGGTGAAAATGAACGAATATTGAAAAGAATTGGTTGTGAAAGACTTGAAATGGTTGGAAATTTTATTGGTTGTGGAGAAGATTTTATATGATCGACAGATTCACTACTAGTCATTAAACTAATTGTACGAATCTATTAATTATAAAGAAAAGGAAAACAAAGTTTATTACAATGAAATATATTTTCCTATAATAAAATTTTACTTGTTTATCATTGTTACTTTCTACTTCTTGAGCTTCATCATCATGTATAAATTCATCATCATAATCTTCATTAGTTTCATCATCAGATATCACAGAAAATCTTATTTCATTTGAATCAATTTGTTGATCAAGAAAAAATTCTTTATGAACAATTGGATCAAATCGTTGTATACTAACACGTGCTGTATCGGAATGTAAAAGCATTATAAGAAGTATATCAAATATTCGACATACATCTCCTATAAAGAAATTTGTTTTTAGACATTATATTTAAAAGTAATGTTCTTTTTTATTTTAATTATTTACCATGAATAAAACAATCAGATGTCCATTTTTGTACAATAGATTTTAAACAATAATCATTTGATTCTTTAAGTATTTTTAAAACATAAATTAAACAATTTTGAAATGATTTTGTTATATGTTCATTTTTGAAATGAGGAATATCACGAGTTGAATTCCATAATTTAAAAAATTTTTTATATTCTTCAATAATTTTAATATCAATTTCAATTTGTTGAATATTTTTTAAAGATAATTGATTAAGTATTAAATCTTCACATAAATTATTTGGTAACATGGAATGAACTATTGATAATAGATGTGAAGCTTTTAAATTATATTCTCGACCATATTTATCACTTAAATATTCCCAAAAATATGCAATTATATATTGAAAAAATTCCGTTTCATCTACGAGTAATGATACTTGTTCTTGAGTAAATGATGGAATAATTAATAAATTAGTTGTTAAAATGTCAATTGAGTCTTTTTTATGTGAAATATATAGACTCAATGTATAACCAAACAATTCAATTAAAATAGATATTGCCATCGTTTGAAGAGAAAAATGATCACTTCTACACAATGATAGAATACATATATCCATTGACCAATCGTCAAAATCGGTTTTGCCTAAAACGAAAACAATTGAACCTTGTTTTTTTTGAGAAAATGAATTGTAAATATACAATATGTTTTGATCGCAAGTTGTAGCAATGATTAGCAATGATATGAAGATAAGCAGCAGCGGTACAGAGAGATTAGAGCAGAATGGAAAGTAATTTCTACAATCAGACAAAGATATTGTCCAATACATTGACTATTTTGAGTCAATCAAAATTGGATCGACTCAGGTCACGAATTAAGGACCATTTTCATTTGAAAAAATTCGGAGAATGATAGGAACTTTGAAAATAGGAATCTCGTAGCTGACTCTGTCCAGAAGTATAAAAATCCATAGCAAACATTAGTGTAAGCTTTTAAGAAAAATCTATATTATAATGCAAAAACGTTTTCGTGTTTAGATGAGAAAAGTTTGTCAATATTTTTCATTGGCAACAATTGTCAACTAATTTGATAATTATCGGATTTTCTTAGAAACGTCAATTCATAAACTTTGTGACAAATTTTTTCACGATCTTTTGAAGTTCATTTATTATCGATAGGAACAATAAAGCTTGCGCATCAAATCTTCCAAAGTTAAATGAAAAAAATCTAGTGTACAAACTTCCGCAATTCGAAAATAATAGAATTTTGACAGTTTACCAGCAATTAAAGGAAGGTATCGTCTAGATATTTGCAAATCGAAGAAAGATATAGTTTTCTCCCTGGTCGCTCTGCTATTGGAAATATTCGAATATATTCTCTAGTAATTAATATGTTATGACTCTATTTCGATAAAAACAACTTTAGTACAGCCGAGATCTAGTTCTTTTTGAAATTTTACTATTAATTATCATCATCATTTCGATGTCTATGTATCTATTTACAAGTTTATTAACACTTTGGTTTTGAGGTGCTTTGTGGTGATTTTATTATTTAAGAAAACATGTCTATGACATGATATTATAGCTAAAAATGAAGAATTGCAAGTAATTACAGTTGTCATAAAGTCTGAAGATAAGTTCTGATGTTTTAACCTTACTATTAAATATATAAGTAGATTCATTTGTAATAGAAATAAAATGATATTCAATGTAAACTTGAATTGAACTGTTATCGAGTAATCTTTTCTCTTACGACAAGATATAATGAAGACAACAATTCTGTTTAATATTCTGGTAGCTTCTTTAAGTTATATAAGATCAATCGATTAAAATAAAAGCATGATTTAATCATTTATACCTTTTGATGGAAATGACTGGTCATTCAAAGATGATTGTATTGGAAAACAGCAAAATTCAGTAAGAATTTTACAACAATTTTCAAAAGCTGTTATATAATGATCAACATTATCATTTAGTTTTAATTGAAATTCATTTAATTGTCGATATCGATTAAAAATTGTTAAAAGATTATCATTAGTTTTATTTTGTATAATAGAATAAATACTTTGAAATTTATCATTCATTAATACTTGTTTCTGATCAATTAAATATGTTATAATAAAATGATGAAAAAATTTTTTATATAATTCTATTGATTTTTCTATATTATTCATTGATTCTAACATTGTTTTTGTTGATAATCGACTTTGCTTTTTATCAAGCAATGGATTATTTATTTTGTCAAGTTGTTTTTCAACTTTACGTGTCATCTGTCGAAGTAATTGTTCAATATCATTTAAATTTTCTTGTTCGACTATTAAATTTTGGTTTTCTAATTGACTTATATTATCTGTTCGTAATAATTTATTATAAATATCTGCTGAATATTCATTATCAATGAAATTTATATGTTCATTGTTATCTTCAATATGATAATCAGTTAAATAATTATCAAATGTTTCATATTGTTGATTAAATGAACAACGAAATATAGATAAAGAATGATTTTTATTAGTAGGAATAATATTTTTAAAAATTTTCAATAATAATTCTACACATAATGTTATTTGATTTGATGTCAATTTTTCAATATTATTATTCATTACTTCTATAAGACGATAAAGCATTCTAGATAAATGTTCCGATTGAGTATCAAGAGGATTTTCTAAGGAAAATATATCTAATAACATATCAATAACACCACATATTTGTTCTATAGTAGATCCAGCTGTAATACAATTGTTATCTTCTTGTTGATTTAGAACAATATCGAAAATTTTTGTTAACAATTCCCATACAAAATAGGGTTCTAATGTATCCAGTAGCATATTGAATGTTTTCAATGTCTCAGAATAGCTATTTTCATGTTGAATATTGATAGATGTTAAGTTTTTAGCAGGGTGATAAACTTGTTCATAAACAAGAAGTGAATAATTCATGAAAATAGATTCGATAATATTCGGACCAACGTCTGGTTTATCAACTAAAACAATACACAATTCATTTAGAACGTATTACTTTATAGTATTTATGCTCAAACATATACTATTTCTAAATTATATAAGTCCTTCTTTCTTTTTCTCATCGCTTTTAATTACTCAAATGAATAAATGTTTGCTTCATTGCACTGTAAAGAACATTTTTCTAATGAAAGCTAAGCTATTGTCTATCAAATCTTTAACTTCTAACTTCAATATGATTTTAAAAAAATATGATTTGCTTGAATCGTTTATATTTTTCATTAAATAATGTATACTCAGATTAATGACTTCAGCATCTGGATTCGTGAATTTGTAGCATGTTCTCGTTGCAGAACTCGAGAGAATCGAAGAACTTGAAAAGAGGAATTTAGCGACCGTCTCTAGCCGGAAATGACTCACATTTCTTCTTCTGAGTATTAGTTACAAAATAATCCAATACAATTATGAGTGATACACACTTCGACCTACCATGATCAATGTTATAACTCACTTAGAGTCTACTATCAAACCAAAAATACCATGAGAAAGCAAACGAAGACGGGTAAAGATGCTAGCCGGTTCTAATATAAATATCATCGTAATAGTTTTACTTAAGTTTCATACGATACTGGAATTCATTCTTAAAAAAACTTATCATAAAATGAAAGTCTAGAAAAATCATATCTATTATTTAAGAAGGTACAAACAATAGTTTGTGAACAACGAAAATACATTAGTATAAGTCGATTCCATGCATTTACTTTTGCTTCAAGAATATTTCAAAGCTCTCCACAATTGTTGGAAACTGAACTCCATGTTTTTTCTTTACTTACTAAGAATAATAAGTACTCGAATTAATTTAGTTAATGTCCATGTCGATGATGGTAATGAATCAATAATATTTGTCATTGGTTGTTTATCATTATTATCTGATTTAACGATGGTTAATAATGGTTTCATAGATATTGCTTGAAGTGAACTTTTCAGTGATTCTATTAAAATTTCTCGTGTATGTGTAACAAAATAAGATGACGAATCAACTAAATCATTTATTAGATGTTGTTCACTAGTAATATCGTTGTTTAATTGATTTGTATCAAAATACCATGTATAAATACGTCGATTTAATGCCATATCACGTTGTAATAAAATATGAAATGTACCATTAATTATTTTGATCATATTTGCTTTTGTTAGCAGCTTTCTATGTATTGGTAAACAAATAAGAAGAAAATCAAGAATTGAACGTTGAGCTAATGAGTCTCGACTATCATGTAAACATATACACACAGCAGAAACCTAATCACAAGTAAAAGAAACTATGTTGTTTTTGTTTTATATATGTTTTCATTTTATTTTTATTTTTACCATTGTGTCCCTTGATAAACCTATTAAATAAATTTGAACTTTCATATTTTTTCTTTTATCAAAATGATTTAATATAAATGTTATTGCTGAATAACGTACTGTTGAAACAAAATTTATAGCTGACCATATACAAGTATAAAAATAAAATTCATCAATTCGATTTGCTAAATTATCAAGTAATATAATAACTCGATTATAATAATCAGCACCTTCTTCTAATGCTGAAAATAGTCCAACTAAAAATCCTGTTAATATTGGATTAAGTGCTTCACCTAGTGGTAAAAAATATGTTTCATATAATGTTAATAGAATAGGTTTAACAGGTAATGCAGCATCAGATAATAAAGAAAATAATCCATAGGAATATAATATAATATCACGTTGTAAATGACGTTTATCTATTATTTGAAATATTGTTTCATATACTTCAAGAGCTTTTAAATGAACACCGGATGGTAATGCTGGATGAAGACATTGAGCAAGACGTTTTGATAAAGTTATACGTTTTGGTATTGAATGAAATTGTTTATAAATTTCTATGGTCTTTGAAAAGAAAATTGTTTTTTTTTTTACTTGGTGAAAAAATGATTTCCAGAATAAATTGTGACAAGAACATTTCGAGAAAGATTCAAAACTACTCGTAGCAAAAATTAATTCTTTATCCTGCATAGTGATTTCAGAAGATTTACTTATGAAATAACCATTGCAGTAGAATATTGATGTCTCTGATATATTGATAGTATGAACAGATCGTTCAGACATACTTTCATAATCAGAAGAAATATAATGACTTGACAGAAATACTATTTGACGAGGAATTTTCTTCGATTGATTAATCGCTTTTGCGTCGAAACTATGTACATTATGTAGATCCAAATGATCTATGAATGTTTCCAAAAGAGTTCAAGCTGTTTTGTAGTATTTTTTTAAATGAATACCGTAGTCTCCTCAGGAATACTCGGAAAAAAAACTGATTTTCAAGTTTCTATTGAAAACTTTGTTTAAAAATAGGCCTCATGGAAAATAGTTCATTGTAAAAGTTTTTGATTTGCTTCTATTCTGAAATAAGAACATCACATCTACCGGTTTATATGAGCGATGTAACAGATTCACTATTTCTATAGTTAAATATTAGGATAGAAATGGTAGCAAGATCTGAAAAAAGCTATCCTTATTAAGACCTTTCTCAATGCAATGTTTCAAATCGAAAATTGGTTTTTTTTTGTTACCACGACATTCATTTGAAAAATAGCCTACAAACTGCACATAGTTTCGACGGAAAACGATGGTAGAGAATGATTTACTCTACCATTTCATGCATTGTGAGTAAATTTTATGTACAAAACATTGACACTGAAAAACTAATGGTTTAACTTTCTGGAAGATCCGTCGTAACGAGTTTGTATTTTGCTATCTCTATTCTCCCTAGCCTTTGTGAAAATTTTGAATGGTATTGATACCAGTATGAGACGTCGTCATCATTATATATCACGCAATATATTTTCATCATGTATCTTGTTTGTTGATAGAAGAACATTTCATTTAAAAGAATCCAACTTCAATTTTCTGTAACCGTTTTACAAAAGACCATTTCAATGACCAAAAGGAGAAGGGTGAAGGATTAATCTTTATTCTGACTTGTGTCAATCGATTTTAATATATCTGTTATACTCAACTCTTACTTCTATTTTCGAATATCGAAAAGTGAATTATGATCGTCATAAACGATTAGGTTAATCATTGATAAACATAAACTTCTTAGATGAAATCTTACTTTTTTAACTTTGACTAAATTAGTAATAAGATCAACCCATTCAGTTGATGATTCAAATTGTTTAAGAACTCTTTCAATAGCTATAATAAAACTTTTATATCCAATATCATTCCCTAACGCCACTTCATCATCCAACATTAAACTCATATTTTTTTTTAATCTAAAATATTTTCGAAATTAACAAAAAAATAAACACAACAACATATTACAAAGAAAACAAAAAACAGAAAACCATTATTTATATATCTGATGGTATATCAGTCACAAGAAAATCACATTCTGGACTATAATATGGTGTTTGTTGATATTGTTCATAACTTAGTTGTGTTGTTGATGATGTTATAGGTAAAATCATTTTTAAAAGATCAACATGACCATTAATAATTCCTGGACAATTTTGATTTGCACACATAATCAAACCTTCATTTAAACTTATACAATAAAGACGAACTGGATATAAAGCATGATTTGTTGAATAACAAAAACGACAAACAAATGTAACAGGCTGTGTTGGCATTTACTTATTAAATAGATAAAAATTTTACACTTCAAACTAAACTTATCTATAAAGTATTTTATTGGTCAATACATTTCTCCAATCAAATAATTTCTTAACGCAATAAGCAAGCAGTCGGTCAATTCAATCAATCATTGATCCAAATATCGTTCGATAATAATAAAAACAATGGTGATTACACTTATACCACCACTTTGGTTAGAATATAGAATTATTAAATTTCTTTTAAAAGTATTTTTTTTTTTTGTTTTATTTAGGACTGATCGTGATGATTGTTTTCGTTGTCATACATCATTTTCAGCATTTACTCGAAAACATCATTGTCGTGCTTGCGGTGAAACATTTTGTGCAACATGTTCGTATTTCATTTTTTATTTAACACATAAATTTAATTATTTTCTTAAACAACAGGCTCATCAAGACAATGTCCGTTACTTGAATATGGTATCGAAGACGATGTACGAGTTTGTATAGAATGTTATGATCGTATAAAAACGTAAGATAATGTATGATAGAAATTTCTACAAAAAAAAATTTTTGTACATAGGACTGGTAGTATTCGTCCGCAATATTTATCAATAGAAAAACCGAAAGAAAAAAATCAAGATGAACTTGAAGAAGAAGATGCTCTTCAATTAGCATTAACATTATCTCGAAGTGAAGCTGAAGAAAAAGAACGTCAAAAAAAATTATTAACACAACAATATTTTAATTCAACTATTCAATATCCACAAATACCAATGAGTTCAGCACCAATTGCTGATGATAATCAACAAAATTATTGGGAAACTCAAACAAAAAATGATTTGATTACAATTAAACCATTAGCTAAAGTAATAAACGATAGAAATCATGAGACTGTCGGGTATACGAAGTATTCAATAAAAAAAAAATTACTATTTTTTTTTTCGTGCATTCAATGTATTGATTTCTGAAACTATCAACTCCAAAAATTTTACCTTTTCTTTAAAGAGTTAGTCAATCGTTCAGTTTTTTTATAGACTATATTTAAAGATAGAGAATTCAATACTGAACAGAATGAACTATTTTAATATAATATAGTCTCGATCGGCACAAATTCTCTAAGGAGGGTATGAATAAAAAATGGCTCTTTTGATCAGTCTCACATTGTAGACTGGTCAAAAGAACCATTTTTGATGCATGTTGACCCTATGCAAAAATGAGCCCGTCGACATTATATTATATTTA